GTGCTCTCTGACAACACAGCACAGTATGTCCTGTAAAGGAATGGAAACAAATGTCAGGTTTGATGATTACCAGCATTCATGCACTTGAAAAGTTAGTACTGAATTGAAATACATGGGTTTGTGGTCTTGCACCGTACTTGCACTGTAGCCACATATGAATGCATCAGAAGATTTGAGAAGAGTCGGGGTTCAGAAAATCACTCTTCCAGTTCTCTCTGCTAGCTGAGCTTAATGGAAACAGCCTTTCCAAGAGACAGTTTATACATGGACAATCTGCTCAGTGTGGTCTGTATTAGAATCAGTCATTTGAAGATGCAGAAGGAAAAACCATCCAATACATAATTTTTTTTATGCAAGCAGAATCAAAGAGTAAAGGGCACTTCACCATTACAGAAGCATTGTCCCATAGTACTGGACTGGTTTGCTATAGTCAATCCTTATACAATAAGGATTTTATGTGGCAGAGTAGCAGCACTGTTATCTAAAATACTAAAGACTACTAAATTTCTTCCCTGGGTCCTCTTAGAAATTTGTGTAATGCTTCCATAATCTGCTGCAGTACAGTTCTGTGCCCATGCCCTTTGATGGCTTCCTGCTTTCCTTCCACATGTGGAATAAACACAGGGTACCTACACTGCTTTCAAATAGAGAGGGCAGGAAAAAAGTTTCTTGCAGAAAATATTAATTTTATCCTTTTGTCTAACCTGATTTCAGCAATTAGCACTAAGTGTAAGAGAGCTTGTAACCTAATTTCACTGAGTAGATTAAATTGTGATAATACGAATCAAAACAGGACAGAAAGCATCTGCACAGTGACTACACTGCATACTTAACTATAACATGAGCAGCATCACTCTGGGGAGCTGGTTTCAGTCATGGCTCAGAAATGAGTGCTCTGGTCTGCTCAAGTTGTGCTGTTTCATTGATTTGCTCCATAAAGGTGAATCACCATTTCCAACTGCTGACCAAGAGAGGAAGTCTTGTCACCAATAAAGCTCAAAGTCTGAACCACAAAGGTCCTACCCAGAATCTGAACTGAGAATGGAAGTCCTCTGCTCCACCATGAGTGGAAAATAAATAACACACTCAAATCTTTTCTGAAATTGAGACATGACTTTGCCCAGTTCTTACTGGGCTGATACCTGCTCCTATGTCTCATTGTTTTTACTTTGAATTACACTTTTTATTAAAAAAGAAATAAACCTACTTAAAAGTTGCTCCAAACTGTAAGTAGAATTAAGGTAAAAGGCTGACATCCTCACATAGCCCACTGCACTAACAGAACTACAGCACAGTGACTTTGGCTCACTCACACACAGCGAGGCATAGCATGGGAAACACGGCTGCAGGGACAGAGCCAGAACATAAACACAGGAAAGGAGGACCCTGTTGAGCAGCGGGTGACCTCCAAAAGCACTGTGTACCCTTTGCCTCGAAGCCCTGGTACGTCCCCACAGGTTTCTGTTTTAGTTCACAATGAAGGTGAACAGTAGAAACAAAGGATAGGACTGACAGGCTTTAAAACTCTCCCTGAAAAATGTTCACTTGCTCACCCGGAGCCTGTCTAGGAACTGGACCTCCCCTCCGTGCCTCTTAAGGAGGTTATAAACAGCAAAGTTCTGACTTCTGAGCAACAGAAGACCCAAATCCTCAGTGGTTTCAGGGAAAAAGAAAGGTGTGGATGATGCATAATGAAGACATTTGATTTCATTAAGTCTCTTTCCCTTGGTTTTTATCTATAGAAATAAGTGTGTGTAACTGGTGAAATTATAGACAATATGTAAAATGCTGTATCTAACAATGCATTCTTGTAAGTAGTTCTGCTGCAAATAGCTACTGAACTGCACTGGATTATCTAAAACACAAGCTAATCCACAGCAAGTATCTAATTAAAAAGGAACCACTGCAGAATTATGGTAATTTACTACCATTAGCTTTGCTGTCTTCCATACTGTGTTCCCTTCACAGTCTGAACTCTTCATAGAATTTTTCCCTTTCAGACTGCAAGGGAATAAAAGCTGCATGCTTTTATTATTTTATGAATGTAGACAATAAAAGCTGCTTTTTGGGTGAAGATGCTCTCAAGCTAGCTCTGTGAGAGCCAGCCTTGGACCCAAAGGGCTCAGAACAGTATGGAGACCTGCCTTCAAATCAGTACAGTTCATATACTGCTGCTCTAGGGCCCAATTTGTCTATTGCAACACTGCATTGCTGTAACGGTTGAACTGCTCTGGACAGTGCTAGTCAGGACATAGTTTACATTGCTCTACTATACAGCATCAACAAGCCCTTAAGTATTTGGACTGGGGTGCAGGTTCCTGGCATTAACTCTGGGTTTTGTCTATAAATAACCTTTCAGCAGCAGGAACTAATGCATTTCTCAAACCACATGTATCACTGGCAAACCTGGTACAGCTTAGTGTGTAGTCAAGATCTAAATAGCAACCTAATTTAAATCACATTATGCCTTTTTTTTGTGGTTATTGAAATTCAAAGTACACTGATTTTAGTAGAGTGGCTGAGAAACTACAGTAGTTCAATTTGTTGTCTTCCATTTTAAAGCTGTCTAAAGGCAAAAAAACCCTTGATGAACCTGTTCACCACAGTGGCTGTAATGAATCCTGATCGATGAAAGGAACAACAATCAATTGTCTGGGAAATGTTGCCTGAATATAAATATTTTCTCCATTCTTTAAGGCTGAGCAAAACTTTTCCCTTGCAAGTTTGCTAATTTTTACATACAGATTACAGCAAATAAGCAGCATCTGCAGAATTTATAGGGATAAGATGATTATATGATTACATGGACTGCAACCAAACACTATGCTTTACTACTTCCATGGGCCTCTCCTTTGTGGTGATATTGCCATCCCATATCTTCTACATTTACAGCCTTTAAAGAAGTGGCTCTTCCCTCTACAGCTCCCAATGGAGTTTTCAAAACTTTGAGAATTTAGTTTCAGTAGGGAACTATGACTTGTGTTAATGTGTTCTTGCAGCAAACATGCCCTAAATGCTTGGAGTACGGAACAATTTCAGAGGGAACGTATTTAATTCCTTCTCAATTTTTATGAGGCAAAAGGAAATAAGAATTGAATGAAGGTTTAAATGAAAGCGACAGTTAATTGAAATTTTACCTTTAAAAAGTGTTCATAGATCAAGCATCAGATTTTTTTTTATTTAGGAAAAAATTAGGTAATAAAGCAAAATGCAAATAAGTCGCCGTAGAGCGATAAACACCACCCCTATGAAAATGTCTTTGTCACAGAAAAACACAGTTGGCATTTCCCCATCACAATAAGTCAGTGCTTCTCTTCTGCTTGTAATAAAATTGTATTCCAATTTGCCTACAAATTTCTTCATTTTATTATAGGCAAGAGGCTGCACATTTCTTAGTGGAAGCTGTTTGCCTGATTTTGGGAACAACTCCATTAAATGTTTCCATAAGATGTATGAGTGTAAAGCCCCCTCCTTCTGGCTCTCCTATGACATTTGATTACCATACGTCCCTTTAAAGAAATGGCAAGATCAAACCAATACTATACAAATTCATCTGATTCATGTGAATTTATGGTGATCTCCTCCCCTAAATTAAGCAAAATGACATTCTAAACTGGAAGTAGTTCTGACAGGAGTGTTTAAAAGTGAGGTGAGTTCTGATTTTGTATGCATATGAAGCTTAAAACCATTCTGCTTTGTTCAGGTACTTCAGGAAATCTTCCAGACCGAAGATACAATCATGTTATTGGAGAGATCCATAAAGGCAAAGGAGTATCCACTGAAAGTGGCTCAGACCCGCCTGGAAGGACGAACCAGACGACCCAACATAGAACTCTGCCATGATGCGCCTCAGTTTCAGTAAGTAAAGGCCAAACTACCCTCTCCCTTCCTTCACCAGCCACTCAAGAACAGGAAATTTAACAACAGTATGAATGAATCAGATGAGATTAGACTTGCATCATGATACAAATTCTGGGAGGAAGAAGTAAAATCCAAGTAGCTACACTGAAATAGTAGGCCAAAACATCTAATGTTCAATGTGTTTAGTTGCCTTAACTGTCCTGGGAGAAGGACTCTAAAGAGCTCAATTGCTTGCTGGTGACCGGTGTCTTTTGGGATTCAGTCTCATATCCAAATTGGGATTTAGGAATTGGTTTTAATCCCATTCTGTATGAAACACAATATTTCACTTTAGGAAATACCAAATTTTAGAAACATGTTATCCCAGACAAATGTCTTTAAATGCAAAAAACCCTCTCAAACCTATCTAATAGTCAAGTTCTTTAAAAAGTTAATTGCAAATAAGCATGAGGCAATTACTGCCTTAACTAATTTTCAGCTCTGTAGTGACTCCAATATCATCTTGGTGCAGGTTAGCTCATTTGAAATACATTTTGGTTATATAGCTGTGGGGGCTTCCCAGCACATGTTGGCATCAGCTTGGTGACCCCTGTGTTGTGATCCACTGTATAGCGTGTACTGTGTCTTCCTGGATATCGAAGATGATGTCTGAGATACTAGCCTTCCTTCCCTAAAGACTGAATTTTAATCCCACTTATCTTTCTCCAATCCAGTTGGAACACAACAGTGTTCCAAAAAAGTGTATCTTATTTAAAATTCTGTCTTCCAAATATTCTGTGAGGGGAGTTTCTCAAGAAATACTGTTCCTCCCATAGCTGGAGGGAGTTTCACAGTCCAGTGAAAAGAATTCTGTATACTTTTATGAAAAGTAGCAAGCTATTCCCTTTTTATTTTTGCCTCCAGCAAAATTCCGCTGTATACAAGAGCTTCATTTACAAGGAGATTAATGAAGTACATAATGCTTAAACTGAGGATTTATATTATTTTTCCTAAACAATGTTTTGTCAGCTCAAAAAGCTTCTATTTAAACAAGGAAGTGGCAATCAATCATGGTTTATTGCACTGGTATTTTTCCAATTTTTCTAACTCCTTAAACCATAAAATGTACAATGCAATATACCTTTTTTTCCATCTTACACTTCTTTAATTGGATCCCAACCTTTCCTTTGGCATATCCATATATTAGATTTCTTCAACTTCATGCTCTGCTCTCCACATCCATTCTGTCAAAAAATATAATTTTGGATCTGAATTTTTTATATCCATTTGGGGAGTTTTATTCATGTGGCTTTTCATTACACATAAATCATGTCTGTTCTAGATGCAGGAGTTCAGCTGTTATAAACCGTAAAAACCAGTGATTACACAGTAGCATTCACTTAGCAGTTACATTTACTACAGGAGCAGATCATTTCCCACTTCAGTCACCGTCACACCATCAATTAAGTAAGCAAATAAACTACTATCAGCATTTTATTAAAAAAACAACCCCACACAAACCCCAAGATGGCCTTAAATACTAATACATAACTCCAGCTTTATACTCACTCTGAGGCTTGTTCTCTCCTTCCTCCCTGAAAATCTCTTCCAGAGAAATGCCTGTAGCTTTATGATTGATACCGGTCTGGTCAGCAGGATCACATGTATCCAAGATATAAAACTTGTTTGATTTAGGATCAAAAATGCAGTGCACAAAATGCACATTGTCCCTTCTTCATCCCACAATTGCGAGGGATGCTGTTGATGCTCCAAAGGGTCCTGTCTAGAAAAGTCTGGAAGCTCTATTTCAAATCACTGGAACATCTTTGAATATTTTCTTTAGAGTGAGAGGATATTAACATGACATACTTAAAACCAAGTAGTATATAGGGGTTCAGAATCAATCTAACATAACCTAAAAGCTAGTAGGAATAAGAGCTTCACAAGCTGTTGTACAGCTACTCGGGAGTATTTTAGGCTTAACATATGCACAAGTGTTCTGTCAATCTAATATGACTTCTGATAGTTTAACCAAAATATTTATACAAATACACTGTTGGCTAGATGCAGGTATAGTGACAGAAAATTAGGATAACCTATTCTCCTTTCTCCAATGCAAATGAATTTTGCTCTACCCAGCTCCCTGATCCAGAGCAGGTTATGCTAGATGCTTTAGCTGATCCAAATCAGTGGATATTATATTCATCATAGCTGCAATTACAAACAGAAATTCTGACAGGGTATTTAAAATTTGGGCACTTTTTTTCTACCACAGTTATTGGGTGAGCTCATGTCTCAAAATGTATTTTCCCAGAGACAAAATGCTATCTGAGAAAGAAAAAACATTTCCTAATTTCACTTTTTAAGGATTTTTTGCTTTTAAATGATGTTATATGTATTTCTCTTATGTGGTCTAAAGCAAGAAGGAATTCAGTCCAATAGCTCAACTGTAATAGGGAAAGAAAATATCAAATGAACCACTTCTTTGTAACATGTAAATGTTATCTAAGTTTGCTGTTTATTTAAAAGGAAGTGCTGATGTTGGCACATGTTCTCTGTGTGTGCTGCCAACTTTGTAGTTGAAGGGATTAGACACAAATAAATTAATAAAGCCTAGTTTTTCTGTGCTGAAACAACTGGGACTGTCCCAAAACAGGTTAAAGTGGATTCTGGAATATTCAATCTTTCTTATTTCTATAGTGCACTGAGCAATTAACATAACATGAGACAAAACACAAAGCTGACAGTATTAAAGAGTTTACCAGCTCGGGGACTATCCAAGACAATTTGCCATATCTCCAGTGATAAGCCACTGGAAGAAATGTGGTTACTATCATCTCACAGAAAATATTGATTTCAGAGCCCTACATTCAATGGTTATCCTGGCAAGTGACTCTTGTTCCAGTTAACATCCTTCAGTGCCAAATCTAGACCGCTCAGCACATCCTGCTGCACAGATTCAAGCTAGCATGAGCTACATCAGCACTCTGCAGTAACATCCATCCCAAATATACTTCTACAGGACCACATCTAATTGCTCAACACAGCTGTGCTAGCCCTAGAAAGGCTATACAAATGAGAGGCTGCAAGTGAAGAAGATAGATAGCAATTAGAAAGAAATACCAAATCAGAGCAGCTTATTCTGCTATTAAAGGGCAAGGCAAGCAAGAAATCATCATTTACATGTGCTATGCAAGCTAGTTGGGCAAATAAGTTTCATATTGATTCAGTCCAAGGCAGCTGTTTAAATCCATCCTAAAAGCGTGACCTGTCCACTGTCAAAAAAGTAATGCACTGAGGTTATGCAAGCAACCTGTCCCTTTCTCTTTTATCAGGCTTGTGACTGAAATTTATACTATAGATGACACCATACAGACCTTAAAGCAACGTCTGCAAGAAGCTCGTGATACTCTGCACATGCTGATGGTCAACAAATCAAACCTGGAACATGACATTGCTGTGAAAGCAAACTCCCTCTACATTGACAAGAAGTGCATGGACATGCGCAAAGTCTTCCCCAGCACCCCACGACTCATTGGTTACACTTGAGTTGTAACCTTTAATAACATAAAAGTTGCAAAGGTGCAAATATTTCCTGAAGAAAATCATTAGTATTCTGTTTTCTCAAGTAATAAAGCCCAGTAGAAACAAACTTCTTAAAATTAATATCAGGCCTCTTTCCTTTGACCAACCTCATAATCTCAGCTGTACCTGTTACTTATTCAAACAGAATTAGTAGACTTATTTTAACAGAATCAGACCACATGAAAATAAGCAGACAGATATGGCAAGGTATGTGAGTTACTAGCTAGAGATAACGTTAGACTGAAATATAGTATTTCAACAGAATTAGTACAATACAGGAGTTAATTGTTCAGGGTAATGTGCTGTCTGTGTTTCAGTCCTTGTCTGGAAAAGTCCAAATGCTACCCCATCCTTACACTCTCCTCCTGTCTAGTAATGATAGATTTGGAGTTTGGAGTTAGAGGAGGTTGGACAAACTTGATTCACAGAAGCTGATGGGCAATTTCAGTGTAATCACTCCAGGTACACATATAGCCTGTATTCAACTGAGAGGGAATCTTTCTATCTCTACATCTTCCTTTTTCTTTCTTTTTTTTTTTCTCCTTTTTCATTTGTTTCTTTGTGCCATCAATTATGAAGTGTGTATTTGTCTGTTTATATGAATTATTTGTTACTGATGTGATATTTGCCCAAGTCTGAAAGGTCTTAGAAATCTGTAGTATCTTATCATTAAATTTTGAAGGATTTCATGAGCAAAGACAGTACCATTGCTCTATTGTGGCTAAGGAGAAAGCTAAGACAAAACAGGAATGGAACAACACAGCAACATGATGTGCTTAAAGTCCTTCAGTCTGTAAGTCAAGATTGCTCAGCTTTCTAGTTCTTAATGGAGCACTACTCTGTGTGGTGGGGAAAAGGATGGAATGGGCTTTGAAGATCTGACCTCTGTGGCTGACAGTTGAAACACATTAACAGCGCAGTAGTCCTAGCAAAGGATTTGGGACAGAACTAGTTTTAACTAATGGTAAAGCAGTCTGACTGCTTTGGACAAAATGGAGAAGAAATGTTTCACTGTTATTTCTGTTCCTTCCTGAAGCTGCTCATGCTTGTTTGCAGAGTAACCAGCAAACTACAACGCTAATAACTGTTTCCCGCTACCTCAGGCTCCTCTCTACAGGGCAGCTCTTGGAACACACCAAATGCATTTTACACTGGACCAAAGCCAAATCTGAAACAATGCTAGGTTTGAAAGTCTCCTGCATAAACTGGCTCTGGTCTGTACCCTTTGTTTTGTGTGGGTGGTGGCTTAATCTAGCTACCATCAAAAGTAATGCTGCTGAGGGAGGCTGGGCTGAGCAGCACCCATACTGCCCTGTGAGCTAAGCTCGGTTCTTGCTGAGCCTGGCTGTGGCTGAGCCACATGACACTCAGGTTCTTTCCTTCAGATAGTACTGAACCACATATTACATCCTTCTAAAGATTTAAAATCATGGGAAACCATTTGGGAACACAGGATTGGGAAGTGACACCTACGCCTACTTCTGACACTCATTAAACCCATCTCACACCAACTACACTGCATCTTGATTTTCTAAATGAGGATAAACTGTAGTCATGTTGCACATGACTATGGAGAGGGCAGGCTGCTCCATCCAGTAAGCTAATCATAGAATCATAATAGTCATAATAATGCCAAATAGTGGCTTTTGGGGAGGATTTTTCTAAATATAGGGAAAGGTATAGAAGTAATTTGGTTTTGTATGGCAATGTAGGACTGCAGAGCAGTTCAAGGGGTCCTGGTGGTGTGCTGCTGGAGACAGAGCTCTGTTACTGAAGACTTCTGGTAATCTGGTTTGAACTAATAGTCGTACCTTGCTGCTTCTTACTCAAACACTTCACAGCAAATTTCTACCATGAAACCCTGCCTTTGGACATGACTTTAGGTGGGAGGAGTGGGGAGTCTCACGTTTTTGTGTCCCAGCAGGGAAGACTGCTACCACTGGTAACATTTTCTTCCCTCTCTATGCCTTTGTATGGAAGCAAGGGAGATTTTATCGTTTGCTTCTGTTACTACTGAACCTAGGCTAAAGCACTTGATTTGCATTTCATATGCTATTTTTACAATGTATGAATAATATTTGTGTTGAGCTGTTAAATATTGACAGTAGTCCACCCTGTTTATCAAATACTGACAGCCAACCAAGCAAAGGAGTAAAAATTATTTGGAAATTTGAATCTTCTTGAAGCCTTTAAATATCTTTCTAGAAGTTGGATGCTTTCCCAGTTCACACAGCTACTCTAATAGCTAGGAATAGTTTTTCGCTTTGTGCCAAGAACTCAATAAAAGAAATATAGAGCAGAATAAAGGCACTTCTGAGAGAGCTGAATTCTTTTGACAGATCTTGACAGGAGAAAATGAAAAAAAAAAAGTCTGAAAACAATCAACATCAATGAGAAGTCAGCCTGAATCAAAGCCCTGAATGTGAAAATTTGGGGGATTTGGGATAGAGATGGTGGCACTGAACAATAGTTCTGAACATCATAATTTCCAGCTCCTTCCTGACTGTGCCTTTGTTCAGCAATGCTCTCTCCAAGACCTCAGCTCTGCTTTTGGGTGGAGTGCTCACTTGGTACCCTATCAGTGCAAACAACACTGAACTTGTTTGAACACTGTGTGAACTCCTGCTGAGAATGACTGCCTGAAAATCATGGATCTGTGACAGTTAGTACTGTTCTTTGAGAGCACCATTTTCCATGAGAACAGTAATTCCCTAAGATTCAGCTACCATCAGCAAGAATAAATTCTTACCGAGTACTGCAAAAATAACAATACTTACAAAAATCATCTTCCCTAATTATAACTGACCAGAAGATGCCAAGTACATTATCGTAGTAAAAAAAAACTCAGTGAAGAAAGTGCTCTTATCTTTAAGTGGTATCCATACATTTCCACACTTCAGTTTGCTGATGGTGTACATCCTCTTTTAAAAAGCATAGTTTTCTTTAGGCTATCAAAAAGGAGAAAACTTCCACAGACTTAGGCTATAAATCTATATAGATTAAAAAATGCTAGAAATAAGGTACCATTTGCTTCTTAGAAGTCAAGGTAGGTGAATAATGCAGAAAACTTGGATCCTAGTCTTGCTTTGCCACTTATTTACTGTGTAAGTGTATTTAGACTCAGCCTCCAGAATGCAGTTAATCCCAGTTGTGATGGGAATATGTCAAAGGAAAGACATTTCTAACAATTGCAAAGATACTCACCCAGACAAATCTGAGGATCTCTTAAAAAAACCCAGGCCAACAGAATGCAAACATTCTGTCAGCTTTTTTCCATAGATCTCTCTTCATATAAACTAGATCATTAATTACAGTACTCGCACGCAGCCACAGACATCAAGAAGCCAGATCTATTGTATTTCCATGTATAAACCCAGAAATTTAACGTGCAGCTCCACAATACTTGAAAGATAAGATCTGTTTCATAGCAAATAGACTAATGCAAAAAAGACCAAAACCTGTCCCTGCCTGTTTCAAACAATGAGATAATTTTAGTTCCAGACAAGCTATTTCCTAACATTATCTAAAGTATAGCTCATAAAAGTTTATGGACTCAACCTCCAAAGAGAGTAAGAAAACAATGGATCTAAGTACCTTCACCAATGATAATCCCAGTCCAGTGCCACAAGGGCACTGATTATAGTGAAGGTAGCTTATTTTACCCAAATCTATTGGTAGTTTATTCATCCTTTTTAATTTAAACTCACAGCAAAGAAGCAGGATTGGTCACGTACAGATTAAATGCCTTGCCACACAGAATTTACAGATGGAATCCCCAGTTAATATATGGGATGGTGCTCATATGACAAGTCTTTTCACAATAGCTACTCACCTGGGTAAGACCTGGCATATGCTTTCAGCACAGGATATTATGGTGTGAATAACAGGAGACAAGGAATATTAGCTATGGAGACAAGAGTGCTGAGTTTGGGAATCTGTATTTAGATTTCATAACATGTCTATTTTAAATTTAGAAAGCGGATAGCATGGGAGATGCCTCTCGACACCTTCCCAGTGGTGCCTTTTAGCATTTCCATTTTTACAACAAGTCAGTTTGTATTTGCTTACAGCACATGCAGGCCTACTGATGTAGAAAGAAATCCCAAATCCAGTGAAGAGTACATGCCAACAGGTTGGTAAGTAGCTACTTTCTTGGTAACAGTATGCACCAATTTAGATCTTTGCAATATTCTGTCTGAAGATATAGAGTCAAACCTTCAGGTCTCCACTCTGCAGCTGCTTCAGCAGCACTGATCTCACAGAATCATGGAACAGTTGATGTTGGAAGGGACCTCTGGAGATCATCTAGTCCACAGACCTCTTGCTCAGGGAAAAGTCAGCCAGAGCACATTGCTCAGTGCCATGTCTAGTCAGGTTTTGCCTGTTACTAAGGATAGAGACTCCACAACCCCTTTGAGTAGCATGTTCCAGTGTTTGATTAACACTCATGGGAGAACAAAGTTTCTTCTCAAGTTTAAATAGAATTTCCTGTATTTTTACTTGATCCTCCTCTACCAAGCATTAGTCTTCCTTGCTCCAGGCTGGTCTCAAGCAGCTGGAATTTCTGAGGATGTATCTTGCCAGCAAAGACCAAGGGTGAAGAAGGGATTGAGTATCTTAGCCTTTGCCATACCAAGTCCCCTGCCCCACTCATCCAGTGGGCCCACATTTTCTTTCATCTTCCTCACCAATACACACGTAAAATGCACTTCTTGTACATCTTCATGTCCCTTGTGGGATTTTGGCTTTCCTAACCACCCCCTCATGCTTGGACATTGTCTCTGTAATCTCCTGGGTGACCTGACACAGCTTCCACCTCTTGCATGCATCTTTTTCATGCCCAAGCTCTGTCAGCAGCTCTTGCTTATTGGTGCAGGCCTTCTGCTACTTTTGGTTTATTTCCTGCCCATGTGCAGCAGGCCATGCTCAAGTTCAGAGGAGGTCATCCTTGAAAAAATCAGTATCACCTGTGACCCCTTTACTCTCCAGGATGATATTCCACAGGAGCCTCAAACAGGCCAAAGTTTGCTCTGCTGAACCCCAAGGTTGTGATCTATTTGTCTTGTTTTCTTTCAGAGCCCCACCTCCAGAATTATGTTCCTGGAAAGAAGGAAATAAAAAAAATCCACAACCTGGATGTCTCATGTGGAACCTCTGAAATCAAACATAACGCTCTCCTGATGGCAGCACAGAGAAAACCCAGATACTGTTAAAGATTGTTGCTTAGATACCAATTCTCTCTTTTTCCCCCACAAGAGCAGAAGTGAGTATCATTAAGTTAGAAGAAATTGGGGAACCCTCCCCTTTCACACTCTCCTTTTCAGATCAGCTTTTCTATTTTCATTTGATGGGGCAGTGTGACTGGAGCTGGCTCTTCAGCATGCTTCTCCATGTTCTTCAGAGAATACTCTGTACCTTTGAGACAGCAATTCAGCATAAATGACCTCCAAGCCTGTTTTGCTTCACTCGCTGTTTTCAAAACTACACATCTGTTGTTCATCAGGAGATAAGAAGAAAAACTGTAGGTTGATACTGACGTGGCGCAGCCACTCCTCTCTCTAAGGAAGCCACCCTCCCTTCAGCATGTTGACTGTACAGCACAGCTTGGCGTTGTCAGCAAACTTGCTGAGGGTGCACTTGATCCCACTAACAAAGGTGTCAAACAGCACTGGTCCCAATACCAACCCCTGAGGAATGCCACTCATCACTGCTCTCCACCTAGACATCAAGCTGATGACTGCAACTCTGAGTATGATCAGCCAGCCAGTTCCTTATACACTAAGCAGTTTTGGCTCATTTTCTTTCATCACTAACATAAAGATTACAGGGCAACACATTCTGTAGAATTGGTTCACAAGGAGAACTGCAGCATTACAGAAGTAGATATAGCAGTGACAAGCAAAAGCAAAAAGCAGATGGCTCTGGACCTGGATTCCAAAACCAAAGAAGTGGTTTACAAACTACCATGAAAGTTTCAGCTTATTGATGCACTTCTTCCCAAAAAATTCTTTTAGGAAGGAAACCATTCCAAATAAGTTACAGACTTATTTTTAAACCAAGGGATTAAATTCTTACAGTTAAAGGTATAACCAGTTCCAACAACAAAAGAATAAGTATCCAGTAACAAATAAATAAATCATGTTTTACTGTGCAACAAAGAATTCGAATTTATAGAGGATGTAAACAAGCAAATTCTTCTTCCAATGCAAACTGCTTAGAAGTATTAAAGAATGGTAGAAATTTTGGTATCACTGAATGATGATCCCACAGCATGTAAGAACATGCCTGCTCTCCTCAAGTCATAAAATAACCGCTGGCTCCTTAATGTGTGCACTACCAGTTCAGATCTGTTCTCTGCCCTCAGGCCTTCTGAAAGACATGCGATAAAACAAACCTGCTATTAAAACTTAGTGAGGAAAAGGAAGATACAGGTCAGACTGGTCTAAGTATTATTTGGTGAAGGAAAGACCCTCCTAACTATTTAGACTTCATAGCTCTAGTTATTTTTCAATTGGAATCCATAAATGTTTATTCAGTCTTCCTATGATGTCCTTTGATCTCGTACATTTTTATTTTGAAAGCACAGATAACATTCCTGTATCCATATTAGACAAATAAGTTGAGGAGACAACACAGTAGTTTGAACTTCTGTTTGGATTTTCTCTCAGTATTCATAAACACCAAGGCAGTCCTTCACTGGTTGCCAATGCAAAGAAAGTCAAGCTTATATGAAATACCCATGCTGATTTGGTGTATTTAACATAAAGCAGACCCATACAAATAAGAATCCCAGTCAGTCTGGGGGGGGGGGGGTGGGAGGGAGGGTGAGTGGGTGTGGGTTCATTATTTTAATGTTTCTAAAGGCACTTACTGTTGTATGACTATCAAAGCTTACAATACTGAATGGATTTTTTAAAATCATACAAATTGAAGAGAAGTATGTCTAAATAAGCAAGGCAGAGGTTGTCTTCGGGTGGGAAATTCCTTAATGTTGTGAAAGAAATATTCATCAGAAAATTCAGCACAAAACCAGGCTTTAAACAAACATCAAGCAGCAGAGAAAATCATCTCCAGGTCAGGGGGCAACAAGCAAAGCATGGTCAGGAAGGTGGTGGAACAGTGAATGTCAGTGGGTCCCTACTCTCCGCAGCCTAAAAGCCCATCTCAGTTATTTCACAACCAAGTGGAGCTGGCACAGCAAGAGCAGAGAGTGACAGTGACACCATGGGGCACTGAGGAGCACAGACTGAGGCACTGAACCATGTTTCAGTTATGGTCCCGAGAACCATCCCACATGCTGCCCACTGACTAGATCACTGGCATCCTGCAACTACCCCTGCAAATGCTCCTTGTTGCCCATGCGACCTGGTTTGCTTTAGCATGAAAGAAGGAAAAGCCTTTATTGAACAGGCACTTGATATCATAGGGCTCATGCTAAGCATCTAGGCTCTTCCTATGTTATGGTGTAGTTAACGCACTGCAGGAGGAAGAACAACATTGTTTTAAAAGCTCAGCTTCAAAAACAAAACCAGTCATGTTATTACAAACATGCAACAAAGAGAGGAGTGTATTCATGCCCTCATATCACATCTGTGCCCTGGAGGCAATGTTCTGAGAGAAGTCTGTGAAACTTGTACTTGCAGCTATCTCAGACAGCTCCACCTATAACCGTATCAGCTCTGGCTCTCTCTCTCTGCCTGACACCATGCCAGAATTGTGGATGTGATCCCCTGATGTTCCTCCTGATGATATTAAATCCTGATGGCTGTGTTTAACTGGCAAGCACTTACAAATACACCATACAGGAAAACAAGGTAAACATGAAAATGGACTCAGGAGTTGGATTTGCATCTATTGTGCTCATCTTTGTGTACTGCAGATAAGCACAGTGATCTAAACACACTGACAAGCTTTCAGAGAAGAACTGTGCTGCTGCTCAGGCCTGAGG